TAGCATGTTGTGTAGTAATATCATTGCAGACCGCCTTTTCCTAAACCTCAGTATAAATGATCAGTGTACCCTGTTTCGAAATTTAGCCCAATAAATATTTAGTGACAACCTCGTGTTAGTTTATCAAAAAAAAACGACTGTTGGCTCTTTTCCGAGTGGTCATGTCGAGGGATTCAGTTTTTCGAAGCACTGTTTCGGACTCAGTGCTAAAGAAAGGCAGTGGTTAATACCGAAGCCCAGGAATTAAGATGCTAGTTCGACAACCTAGCCAACGCTCTTCTCCAGTTCACATGGGAACGCCTTAGCATGGCTGTCTCCAACATTGCAAAAAGACTTGGCTTAAGCTGCATCCAACAAAATTTATGAAGAAGATAAAATCTTCAAGCAGCAGCCAAAACAAGACGCGAAGAGTTCGTAGACCATTGTGGACGATGACTGCGAGAAAAACGAATCCAATGCAATTTTTGAGATCCACACAGAAGATGTGATGATAGGTTATTTCAAATGTTATGTAGATGTAATGTTTGAAAAATATTGTCTTCTTAAATAAATAAAACAAAGCCTCTGACATAATTCTGTAGCTATTGAGCTATCGGAAATTTACCTCACATGGTCAGAATGACCAATTTTGCTGTATTTAAAAGATGGACGAGTTTTCTCGCTTCTGCACACTCCGAAATCAACGGTTTTCACGTATGTGTTGAAAGCCAACATCGAGAGATTACGTACGTAGTCCCTATTTCTGTTCATCTTTGATTAGACAACAAACACATTTATTTGTGCTGTATTCCACACGCTTCAATGTCCCCATTTGTGGAATCGTACGGTCTCCGAACGAGGATTTTTGACCGGTGTTATACATGCCATGCACAGCTGCGTTTGCGTCACAGGCACCTGCACTAGGCACCCAGCCAGCTCTTTGTCCGCTGCCATGACAATCGAACAGTGATACTGCCTGGTGAAAAAGTGAGAACTACGAAAACGATCGCAGTAAACTGCAATGCTTTCTAGCTATATTACCAAGATATTGTTCAGAACGGAAAACACCTGAATCGTGCTCCCTTAACGTGACGTCTAGTCATTCTAAAGATCGTCGTACTTTCGAATGAGAATTTCGTCCAAGCAGCACCCAATTTTCCCAAGTTCCTGTAGTTGCTGGAAAAGCGACGCTGAGGAGGTAAATGCGAAGCCTACTCAAATCTCTTGCTTTCCCATGCTCAGTCATGAAGGTAAGTTGTTCACAATGTTAACTTTTTGATTCAGATTTAAATAGCTGGAACAATGAAGTTCCATGTGTACACCACTCATTACTTGGTTCTAATTCTTCTTTGATAGTGCGCATGTGGACCCTAACTGACAGGGTAGCATGTCATAGTTCATAAGCGATCACATGTGTGTGGAATAATCCTCCATTCTTCATGATCTGATAATAAGCAGGATGTTCGTCGCTGTCAGACATATTTTAATAGAGATTGGGTTAGCGCAGTACTCGACTTAGACCCCAGGCCAGATCCGAACCCTCGATTACCCTATCCGGGTGATCATTTATTGCCCACTGCCCCACTGAAGCCCTAGGCTTGGCCCTCTCTCACCCAGTTTCCTACTTAGCGGTGCCATCAGCACTCACCTATCAACGAGAATGATCCGGATTGAAAGGCAAGACCAAAGGCCTCACTGATGCAATGGGAAACATATGAGCTCCCGGAAAAGGTAATCACGGGTTTCAATTTGACCTAGGGTCCAAATTTTCCAAATAGCTCAGCATCACAGCGGCTGCATTTCACATACCTTACCGGGAAAAATAGTAGTAGGCAGGAGACAGAAAAGTTAGAATCATCAATAATATAAAAAATTGCTTTTGCCTGCTAAGGACTGCTGATGGCAGAAATCGAAAAAACTAACCGAGAGACAGGCAAAACGGAGGACCCGCATGGTGTGGTGGTGAACGCGTTACTCCCCAGAAAGGACAATAGCGCGTTCGTACCCCACTGCAGACACCTGCGGTCCGGAGTTTTGCAAATATCTCAGCATCGTTAAAAAGTTATATTTCGCAATATACGCTGCCATCAAAAGGAGTAGACAGTAAATAAAACAGTTAAGATTGTGAATAATATAGTTTAAAAAGTTCGAGTGTCGATAGTTTCCATGACGTCATGAAATTTTTCTTGAATGGCTTTCAAAATAACTCGAAAGACCGACTTTCTATGAACCTCGGCATAAATAGTTGATATATTTATTTATGAGATCTTATAAACTGATCTTCTTAAGCTGACGCGAGGTTGGTACAGATCTTCGTTGTCGTTGTCGTTGTCGTTGTTTTTGATGTTATTGATCGATGGCTGACGTTTCGGCGACTTCGCCTTCCTCACAGCCTGGACGTACTTTATGTTAGAATACTTTTTATTATTCGGTGGAAAAGAAGGTTAAGGTATTAATGAAGATCAAACTTTCAAATAGACGCCATATTGAACAGAAAGGCCACTCACCGTGATGTTACGTGCGGGACTGGCCCACACGTAGTTCACGTGGAGTCGCGAGCAAGACACGCCCCGGGGTCAAAATATCATTTTGAAATAGGGCGCCAGGTCACGTGTGATAGTGAGGCATTCGTCCTTCCGGTTCATCTTTGGATTTTTGAAATTTATCCAAAACGCCTCAAGAGTTTTGCGCGTTGATGTTTTTGATTCCTGCGCTAGGATCCGCACATTCACTTCAAAATCATCGCCGTTGTGCTTTTGTGCCCTATGCGTACCTAGAGGGGTGTTTAAACGGATTTTAGCTTTCCCATCTAGATGTTCTTTTATGCGGACACAAAGTGGTCTACCCGTTTCCCCGATATATTCCTCGCCGCATGCATTACATGAGATCAAGTATATTATACCTAAACTCATGCAATCCCCGTCTCNTACTTTTTATTATTCGGTGGAAAAGAAGGTTAAGGTATTAATGAAGATCAAACTTTCAAATAGACGCCATATTGAACAGAAAGGCCACTCACCGTGATGTTACGTGCGGGACTGGCCCACACGTAGTTCACGTGGAGTCGCGAGCAAGACACGCCCCGGGGTCAAAATATCATTTTGAAATAGGGCGCCAGGTCACGTGTGATAGTGAGGCATTCGTCCTTCGGTTCATCTTTGGATTTTCGAAATTTATCCAAAACGCCTCAAGAGTTTTGCGCGTTGATGTTTTTGATTCCTGCGCTAGGATCCGCACATTCACTTCAAAATCATCGCCGTTGTGCTTTTGTGCCCTATGCGTACCTAGAGGGGTGTTTAAACGGATTTTAGCTTTCCCATCTAGATGTTCTTTTATGCGGACACAAAGTGGTCTACCCGTTTCCCCGATATATTCCTCGCCGCATGCATTACATGAGATCAAGTATATTATACCTAAACTCATGCAATCCCCGTCTCTCCCGTTAGGACAGATCATACAGTTTTCTGAGCTGCACAAACGATCATAGAGACGGTTTCGAACTAACTGGCGGCGTAGGGTATTGGGTGGGATGTCAACAATCGTTACATAATTTTCAAGACCACTTTTTCTTAAGCACTTTTTAAGCGGCTTTCAAAATGTTCGTGATTCGTAAAGCCGTCGCTTATCTGTCTGTGTGGTTTCGTCAGCGCTTCAAAAGAACCCATATCTTCTCTCCGAAAACAGAATTTTTTGAAACCAAAAAATCTGCTCCAATCGACTATTTACCGACTTCCATGGCCGTATTTATAATCAACTGTCCATAGAAAATGGTAAAATTCATTTTCAATAGTAAATATAGAAGTAAGAAATCCTTAAAGTCCTCGCGATCAAACGCAAATCATGTTCAAGATCGATGTCGGCACTAAAAATTTCCATTATGTACAAACGAAGAAGTCAAAAAACCATCATATTAAAAAAAAACTGAAAAAACAACAGAAATTCGGTTCATAGTTAATGAGGCATAGGAAGAAAAATTCGAAGTTTCCTTAGAGCCTTTAAAAATATTGAAAAGGGAAAAACACGAAGAAACCCAACAACAGTCAGAATGTCATTTAATCGGTACCCATGAAGCCAACCACGACGACTAGATACTACCGTACCACCGTCAACTGGCTGACGATTGATGAGGAACAAGCACACTGGTAAACAGAACGAAAGAAGGAAACAAGCTGAATAAGTAGAAAAATGACTTCTGACTTCTCATGCTCTTAGTAACGACCAATACCAGATATGGTAGTGAAGAAAAAAAACGAAGAAAAAATGAAAAAGAAAGAAAGGTTCGTCAAGAAACAAATAACAAAGTATTCACCAATGTTAGCTTTTCAGCAAAGAATGGACCAAAAATCTGGAAAATGTACTGATATTTGATGGAAATGCTGGCGAAATAAGAATGAGAAGTGGGGTTGAACGAGAAATTCTAAGATTCCTCAGAAAGCTGGCAACCTGAGAAGTCGATGATACGAACAGACTTGAACTCGGTGGAATGGCGAATGAGATATCCTGAAAACAAAAAAAACAAGTGATGTGTGGGCTCCATATTGCCTTAAAACAATTAACCGATTCTTTTTTTTTCCTTCCATATCAAACTGAAGTCGCTTCGCGAAGGAATGGTTCCATATGGATGCCTTCACATGAAGACATAGAAACATCTGCGACATTACTCCGCTATTTGCGAATATTTTCAGAAAGAGTCACGGTTCCATAGAAGCTCCAAACGAAATACGGTTGCAATCATAGACTTGTTTCGTACAATTTGTATTAAATTTTATTAGATTTTGTTACATATTTCTGGAAAAATGCCAAATTTTCATGCAACTGTTTGTTAAATGTCTATATAGGAAATAGAGAAACGGGCTCTCTTAGAAAAGCAGTTATTGTCAAATACTGAAAACTACAAGTAAAGATGTGAATGAAATAACATATGTTTCATTAGTAACACTGCTCAAAAATAAGATAGGTAGGAAAAAAAACCAACGTCATACGGATATCCTGATGTCCACGTGTTCCTGTGTTGTATGGACTCAAGGAGGCACATAAGTTGGAGGCATTCTCTGATTTGGCACAGTGCTAGTTGCACCGAGCCGCGGTGACGCTGCTGCCAACGGAGGTGGTGGTTTGTAGAGAGGATTCTCGTGTTGTGATACCTGCAAGATCGTCATCAGTTTCACTGACTTTCGGAAAAGTAAGAAATGGCTCCAAACCATGAATCGCTTCATAATTATTGCCCCTTGCCCGAAAAATCTCTTAAAGATGAACTCTTTACAGTAATATTCTTTGCTGCCTGCGCGGTTAAGAAGATAATAGAGTTTCACCTCATTCCTCACTATAACGCAATCCCGCCCACGATTCTCTTTCTGCTTCTCGATTTCCGCCCAAATGATTTTATTGGTATACAATTAAACTGCTGGTGCGTGCACCGCAATGATAAGAGGCGTCACGGGCAACATATCCTGCTCCAAATAGCTCCAGTGTCAGGAAATCAGACCTATCTGAGGATATAATAACACTGGATGGATAGATCGCTCAGCCCTCCAAGTCACCTTATAGGCGAATTATTCATTAAATCACCTCTACAATGGTGAGAATGGAACTCGATGCATAGCGCATCCGTAGAAGTTTGAACAACGCCAAATGCTTTATCATTCATCCATTCTATTTAAACAAATAATCATAGATGGAAAAGTCGCAAACACGCGTTCGACTTTTAATGGTAACCTCAAGAACAAAGCTAAGAGAGGAAAGATGTCCTATTCATTACAATTCAAGGAATTAAAGGCTTGCCGTGTAGGGACGGATAAAGAGCCTGCAGTCGCAGGCGATTAAGCGGCGCAACATCGTGTTACCTTATGCCACCCATTAACAAAATTAAATAAGTAGAAAATAAATCATTTAAACCTTGAGTGGAGGACGTTCTTCTTTAGTCAACATTGGAGTTGCAGCGTGTGCCATTTCAAAATCTTCGGCTACTTCCTCCGGAAATACCACTGGCATGCCTTTACTCATGTAGTCAGAGGGTTTTTCCTGCAAACCTATTGCGTTTAAGAAATACCCAAAATTTAAGTTAATTTACTGCTTCATTTTCTTTGTAGTGCGCTAACAGAACGAAGGGTCATTGAGGAAAAACCTATCGACAAAAAATTGAGTCGAAGTTAAATTTTGTCTTCTGAAAATTTTTCAGCAACCACAATTGACAAGTGTAGGGTTCCATCATGGAATCATTTAGGAAAAGTTACGACACACCATATTCACCTTCTTCTTGTTTTTTCTTATCGCACTGCATACGGTACAAATCAGAATAGAGAGCAAAATGAGTAAAATGAGCACTCCAAAAAAAATCAACCACGGGAATGAGTCCAGATCTCTTGCCTCCACGGTAGGGGCTGTGGACACCGGTTCCTGAAGTGAAACAACGTTGAGAAATTCTCACAGACAAAGTTTGTCCACTTCCAGTTATAAAATTACCGATTCCTTTTCTATACAATTGCCAGCAAATTCAAGAGCCGCTTTGCGTACGTGGAATTGTGATCCGATCAGTTTAACGAATTCGATTTTGGTCTGAGCTCGTTGTTTCGTGAGCATCGTGTGCCGAATGCCATTAAGAGCTCGGTGATCACAAATCTGAAAATGTTATCAATTATGCAAAGAGACACACCCCACACACACACACACACACACACAACGTATGGACCCACACGGACACGTACAGATATAATGATGGATGTAAAGGCCTTGTAGTCTATATGCGGATGCACATTTGCGTATGCGTGAAGACAAACACAATTTTCACATTCGTAGAAAAGTTTTATGTGCAACATTTGGTTAAGAGTAGTCACCTTTTAACCAACAATTATTATACAGATCTCATCATGACATAAACCTCACATTATACCATGATATGAACGTGGATAATTCAACTTTTAAAATAAGCTAACACGTTGATGTCATATCAAAATAGATCACCTTCAATGCAGAAATGGCTTTTGAACTAGGAGATCTTTGAATACTATTTCAATTTGCGGTGAGCGAGTAATGCAATGGCAGTGATGCCGTTAACTACGCGGATAGTCCAACCTACCTAGGCACTGGTGCTAACCAAGCTCTACGCCCATCAATTCTCCCATTCTGCGGCGTTTGGGAAGTTGCTAACAGGCCGGTCTAGAAGAAGTTCACTGCTACTAATCCACATTGGAACGTCTTAGCACGGCTATCTCAGCATTCCAGGAAGAATCCACTCAACCAGTATTCTACGACATTCGTGAAGAAGATGAGAAAATCAAGGCAAGCGAATCATCACGCAAGAAACTTCCTCGTGGATGGTGGATGCGACGAAATGAATCACAAGCAAAAAGTGTTGTATAATTTGCTCCAACGGCAGCGACGGTGATTACATGAATTCGGGCACAGTTTATCTGATCTCTTGTAAAGTGTGCGAAGACGAATACATTGGCGAAACGGGTAGACCACTCTGCGTCCGTATAAAAGAAGACCTAGTCGGTAAACTTAAAGTTAAACCAAGTACTCCACTGGGCACGCATGGGACACAGAGACATAACGGGGATGATTTTGAAGTAGAAGTGATGATCCTCGCATAAGAGTCGAAAACACAAGCACCCGAAATTCTTGAGGCATTCTGGATCAATCCTAAGAATCCGATAATGAATCGCAGGAAAGAATGCCTCATAGTCACGCGTGATATCAGGTAGTATTTAAGACTGCTGTTTTGATGTGAGAGGCACATTACGCTTCCATGTAAACTCTGTGCGGTTGGTCTCCACGTGACATATTAAGTGGAAGACTCATGGAAAGCGGCGAATATGCGATGAAGCCATTCTGTCTATGTTCAATGTGATTGCAGTCTTGGTTTAGCATTTTCTCTGTTTGGCTATGGAAATGTTTGGCTGGGTAGACTGCGGTCAACTTGACCTTTCCAGGCTCCGAGGAAGGCGAAATCCACCGAAACGTCAGCTTGTTCTTGAATAAAGAATAAAATAGCACTTCGCGTTTGCTCAGCATGAATATGAAGGAAGAAGTGTTGCGTTCCGCACAATGTCATAAGTATAACAGGTTATTTAATAAATTTAAAAAATTGATCTGTTCGAACACTGCGTTAACTCTTTCGTATTGCAGACTAACTGCCGACCGTCGTAAATTAGTGCTCACTCAACTTATGGAACTTTTCAAGCTTTTTGGGAGCATATTGCGTTTCCAAGCTCTGAAATTCCTTCTTTGGTTGAAACGTGATCAATTCGCAATGGCTGGACTGTAAAAGAGTGCGATGACTCTTCCTGGTTTAATTAAACATAAATATCCCTCTAGCACAAAGTAGCATCTGAGAATCCCATTCCGTTTGACTACTTGTGGTCCACACGACTATCTCAGCAACCATGTTTATTTACTACTATCTCCATAAGTCTATTCGAACAATGAAATCTTCAAAATAGTTGAAGCGCCGCTTACGATTGAGTTCTAGTCAAGACGGCGAAGAATCGCCGACTAGGTCTATTTTAGTTGAGTTTCTGTATGGAACAATTTTCAAGGTCGTTCTGGGTTTTGATGAAGGAGTCATGGATATGAACCATAGGTTACAGTTCCAACCGAGAGACGCTTTCTTGCTACGATATGACAGTAAGCCATCGAGGAATTAAAGAACATTTAAGATTGCCAATGTAGAATAATTAAATGCGTCGTTTTCTTGTTCAGCAATCGCGAGGTTGTTACACAACATACATTTACTTCCATAGAAAAACACAATACCATACAACAGTAGCTGACGTTTCCGCAGTATCGCCTTCTTATCGTCAAGAAAAAGTATCGTCACGAAAAAAGCGATGTTTCGAGAAGCTGTTGATCATGTAATTGCCACAGAGCTTTTCGTCCTTTTGTAAGTGTTATTGTAGCGTTTGGCCTAGTAGATTGTATCTCAGTACACCTTTCCAGGCTCTGAAAAAGGCGGTTCTGCCGAAACGTCAGCTTGTACTGTATTGTGTTTTTCTATGGAAGTAAATGTATGCTGTACAACAACTTCGCGATTGCTGAAGAAGAAAACGATGCATTCATATTCCTATGCCGAGGATAATACAAAGTCGATCCTGGGAAAAAAATAATAATAACTTTAATAAGTTTTCTTCGTATTTTTGTTGAGCAAACGCGAGATGTTATTATTCTTTGTTCACGATTAAGCTGACGTTTCGGCGGATTTC